CAGGAATCTGGGTGTCTGCGCTGGTGTGCAGGCATGATAAATGGGTCAGCAGATGATTTAAATATTCCAAATTAATAACATGAACATTTGCAGGGTTACCTCCATTTTCCGACTTCTGAGAGATATCAGGGATCTTCCACAATATCCTTTGCTGTTCGGCATTCTCTAAAAACACATGAAGAAGAGCATTTCTGTAGGAAACAAGAAATTATGAAGGAGCCATTTGAATTTTGCCAAAGGCCCTGGGGGCTGGGGGAACAGCTGCGGTGCTGCTTTCCAGGGCTACAATTCCCGGAGCTTGGCTTTGGGTTGGACCCGAGCAGGAAAACGCTGCTCTTGCATTGCAGGTGAGCAATGGGTGCGAAGCAACAGCGCCGTGCCCTGCTTCCCCGCCGCAAACATGCATGCCTACGGCAGAGATGGAGCCCTCGATAAAAGTAGCCGAAACCCAGAATATGGGTTGTCATTTTGCTGCCTGCACACATGCGTTCAGCTCTGACTGCACGCTTGTGGGAATACCAAGGAAAAAAAGCAATCGGAGCAGGGTTTCATGCGAAGGGCACATGCGAAGGGTGAGCAATTCCTACCAGACAGCAGGAGGAAGCACAGCTTGGAGTTTGGTTACTCCTCCATCGACGGGGACAAGGAACTGGACGTTGTTTAGAGCTACTGGTGTGGTCATTGCCTCTGTGTTGTATTTGTAGTCAATGCGGAGGTCAGTGCTTGCAGGGTCACACCGCCAGCTCACTGCAAGGTTTAATGGAGTAGACTGAATACCCTGGGCAGATACCTTCCAAAATGACAGAAAAAACATTTAGTTTCCGTAGGGGTGAAGGGAAAAATCCCATTTTACAGACACCGTAACTGCATTTGGTTTCAGGGGAGGCAATACCTTGTATTCTGATAGTAAGTTTGTACTGAATCAGGAAATCTAGTGATATACAGAAGGGACTAGCAGGACAGCATGCCCTCAGCTCACGTTATCACAACTCCACACTAGGAAAATACCATCTTTTACGTCTATAACTTAAGAGCACATTTTTGGCACAGCTTTATCTTACAAAAAACCCCTACCTGGTATTTGAGCATATCCACATTGTAATAGGTGGCTTGCGGTTTCTGTTCCGATACCTTCTTTAGGTGAGTCATCAGATTTGGCATGTTGACCCAGAACTCCTTCGTGTTGGCGTCACTCTGCGTGTTGTCACTGCACAGAAGGAGAATTAACCCTTCGCGTGAGCCGCCTCGGCCCAAGAAAGCTTTGCTACGAAGCATGCAGGGCAGCAGCACTGGCTGCCAGCTGGGACCGCATTTAATCCCGTGTTTATAGGAATATTGCCTTCTCCCGTGCATCGCTGGCTTGTCCTCAGACCCCTCCAGGGGGGCACAGCAGATGCAATCTGTAGGTCATCACGTTTTGCAAACGGGAGGTCTAACAACCGGAGCGAGGCACAAAACGAGCAAAGCCTATCAAAGCGCTTGCTCCTCTCTGCCGATGCTCTTCTGCCCAGCAAAGGGGCTGCTCTCAGAGCAAGTATTTAAAGGCTTGAGAGTTTCCTTCCCAAAATCAGGGCAGGCTTCCATGGAAGATGCTTCAGGTCATGTGTTTTGGCAAAGCACGCTGGAATCCTGCCCACCTTTGGGCTGCTGGAGAGTGGGCTTACCAGCAGAGGAGCTGGGGGTTTGGCAGGACATGCTCCAGCCTGTTGTAGTTCAGCACGCGGAAGGTGAGCACCGCCGGAGCAGGGTTGTTGGCAAAGTGTCGGGTGATGCCCGCTGGAAATGACAGCACCATCTCTCCCGTGATCTTCACGATACACCTGCAGCACCGGACACAGAGACCGAGGTGGAAGGAAACAGGGGGCTCAAAATGCAGCAGGAGGGGACGATTGGCATCCCACTTCCCACCCACCACCCCAGATTGTCCTAAACCAGAGCGAGCTGAAACAGCAACAAAGGCTGGCAGCCTGCTAGGGATGGGGATGCTCATGGGGATGCCCCCAGAGCATCCTGACCCTGGACCCTCACCTGGTGCAGAGCACTGACGCGCCAGCACGTGTGCTGAGCCTAGAGCACCTCCTTTCCTTCCTCCCCATTCCTCAAGATGCTCACCAAAGCCTCAACAGCACCCCAAGCCTGTCCCAACCCCGGGACACCACTGTATCGACACCCAGACCCTGTCGGTTGGCACCTACTTGTTTGGGTCGGCCCCTTTGAAGTATGCGTTGACAGTTTCCGTGAAGGCAGCGGCGACGGGCAGGGTGTCCTGTGCCCCCATGGTGAGGGGGCTGGGTCCCCGCGACGAGCCTGCAACAGAGCAAAAACCTCCACTTCTTACATGCAGAGAGAAAGGGCACCATTCCCGCTCAGGGCATAGGGTGCTCAGCAAGACCCCCAGCCTAGCTTTATGGGCCCACAGTAAGAAAAAGTCCCCCGGGCTTTGGATAAGGCTTCAGAAATATGTTAAAATTATCTATTTTTCCCCTTCAAACGCAAGCAAAGAAAAGAACGGAGGAGCCGCG